TACTTAGCACTGAGACAGTAAAGTATCGTACTTAGCACTGAGACAGTAAAGTATCGTACTTAGCACTGAGACAGTAAAGTATCATACTTAGCACTGAGACAGTAAAGTATCATACTTAGCACTGAGACAGTAAAGTATCGTACTTAGCACTGAGACAGTAAAGTATCATACTTAGCACTGAGACAGTAAAGTATCATACTTAGCACTGAGACAGTAAAGTATCGTACTTAGCACTGAGACAGTAAAGTATCATACTTAGCACTGAGACAGTAAAGTATCATACTTAGCACTGAGACAGTAAAGTATCGTACTTAGCACTGAGACAGTAAAGTATCATACTTAGCACTGAGACAGTAAAGTATCATACTTAGCACTGAGACAGTAAAGTATCGTACTTAGCACTGAGACAGTAAAGTATCATACTTAGCACTGAGACAGTAAAGTATCATACTTAGCACTGAGACAGTAAAGTATCGTACTTAGCACTGAGACAGTAAAGTATCATACTTAGCACTGAGACAGTAAAGTATCATACTTAGCACTGAGACAGTAAAGTATCGTACTTAGAACTGAGACAGTAAAGTATCGTACATAGAACTCAGACAGTAAAGAATCGTACATAGCACAGAGAGAGTAAAGTATCGTATACTTAGCACTGAGACAGTAAAGTATCATACTTAGCACTGAGACAGTAAAGTATCATACTTAGCACTGAGACAGTAAAGTATCGTATACTTAGCACTGAGACAGTAAAGTATCATACTTAGCACTGAGACAGTAAAGTATCATACTTAGCACTGAGACAGTAAAGTATCGTATACTTAGCACTGAGACAGTAAAGTATCATACTTAGCACTGAGACAGTAAAGTATCGTACTTAGCACTGAGACAGTAAAGTATCGTATACTTAGCACTGAGACAGTAAAGTATCGTACTTAGCACTGTGACAGTAAAGTATCGTACTTAGCACTGAGACAGTAAAGTATCGTATACTTAGCACTGAGACAGTAAAGTATCGTACTTAGCACTGAGACAGTAAAGTATCGTATACTTAAGAATGATGTCATAGTCACACGGGCTAGTGACAAGTAGTATCTTTTAATTAATCTAGTGACACCTTCCATTTTATTACAATGATTTCTAGCATCACTCGGTCCAATAACTAATGTGAAATCCCTACCCTGGTGAAACCTTGTACATCAATGAATGAACTTTCTATGTTTCATCTCAATATGTCAACTAAACATGTAAACATAATCTGTCACCATAAAATTTTCTAAATAACAAGTCTTGTATCACATGGGTTTGCCCCAGTCATTAGATGTTAAAATTATTCAAACATTGCAAAAGGACATTTTTGTTTTGAAGAATAAACAATTTTGTCCAATCCTTGGAAGAAACATAAAAAAAATGATTGAATCAAAGTCTATTGGTTGCATCATAACTATTGGCTCGGCTCGTATTTCTACTTGATGGTTCCTTGGCACTGTTCTTTGCAAGAGATTGTTGGTAACTGTACAGTTGCTTCTCAAGTGCATAGTTTTCAGCCTGAAGGGCAAGGATCTCTCTACTGGGGAAAGAAAAAGGGGGACAAATCGAATTTTGCTGATAAATGTATACAGATTCTCATTAGATAATCAGAGCTTTTATCTTTTAGGCAATTTCTATTCCCGACAGTGGATAGATTTAAATGATAACCGAATGAAGTGTAAGCTGGCCAGCTAATATCAAAGCTGTTTTAAAAACATTTTCTTTGAAACCCTTTACACCAGTCAATGTAAATAGAGAGTGCTGATAAATCGAACAATACCTTGAAGAGTTTTCATAATGATAAACTTACGTCTAAATGGCATCACATATTAGTTGTTTAAAAAAATAATAATTAATAAATGAACTGCATTTATTTGCACAGGGGCAGCATTTTGCCATCCAGGCTACTAAAACAGAACAGGCATCTAGTTCTTTCATAAAGCAATTTTTTTAAAATTTCATATAGTGTACCAGTAGTTTCTCGAGTTTTAAGACTATGTACTATGAGGCATTTGTAGGGCTAATGAGTTGAGTTGACTTCGAAAATCAATTAATTTACAAACTGCTTGTAAAGATTATACATTAAAATCAAGATACCGGTAATATGATCAAGAAACGTTTATTGAGAGTTCATAAAAAAGTTGTAGAAAAATCCTCAAATATTGAACTTGAACCAACATGATCATCCCTGAGAGACATGGGCAAGGGGCGGACAACCTTATAAGTTTATGTTCAGAAATTATCAAACTTTTAAAATTTTGAATAAGCTTAAAGAATATGTCGGGAGGCACGAGTCAAAGTTGCACATTCTAATCACAACAGAGATGGATGGCCTGGAATGAGGTCAGGGGTCTCCATACAACCGCCGGCCCGGCACTTATCCAGCCCACGGCATCTTTAAATACGGCCCGCGCACCAAGATAACCTATTTTATAAGGCTCAAAAGGTGTTATGTGTGTGAAGTTATGGAACATATGGGAAAGCCTATGTGACACGCCTATCCTATAGCTAGCTTTTCATTCAAAATTTGTACTAGATGACCCCTGCTATTAGCAGCCCCCCCACCCCCCAACCACACACACTCGAAAATATGATTAGTTAAGTTAAATCCTAATACAGTCGAGAGGAAGAAACGTGTGTCTCAAGCCCTCAAATTTCCAATAATAAGGACGCTAAGGAAAAATTTAGGACCCACACTACACTGAACAAAATTTAGAGTGTTGTTCAGCACACTACACTGAACAAAATTTAGAGTGCTGGTCAGCACACTACACTGAACAAAATTTAGAGTGCTGGTCAGCACACTATACTGAACAAAATTTAGAGTGCTGGTCAGCACACTACACTGAACAAAATTTAGAGTGCTGGTTAGCACACTACACTGGACAAAATTTAGAGTGCTGGTCAGCACACTACACTGAACAAAATTTAGAGTGCTGGTCAGCACACTACACTTACAAAAAGTTAGGGCGTTGGTCAGTCAGCGACTAAAATAACGACATTTTTTTACTCTTAACACTCCACGTTTTCCTACCCCTGACATACTGTCAAATGTTTTTTTCATTTTCTGGTTCTGGTAGGGTACGTCGTTGAATCCCTGTACCGGCATATGCGCAACGGTTGGGGAAGCGAT